TTACCCATGTATAAATGTTCTTTTTTTCCTCTGCTCTTTTGTGATAATTTTAAAGTTACCAAAACACCTTCTGTCATAATTTTAAAGTTACCAAGAGCAGTTAAGAGCAGTTGCTGGTCAGTCATTATCCGTGTACAAAGACATACCCTGCTGTTTTCGTATCTGCTACGTGGGTTCCACCTTTGATCTTCCCAGGAGTGAAGGTTATTTCTGTTGAGCCAATTTCTCCGCCTTCCAGCTTCCCCTCACATAGATCTCGAATGATCTCCAATCCAGACAGATGCTGAGGCCTTGGAGTGACAATAAGAAGTTAAAGATATGTGCAAGTAGGCTACATACTCACGTTACATTAAAAGAACTACTAAACACCAACTAATAAATACTACAATTGAGAATTTCAGATCAAACAAGGATCAGAAATTCGATCTTGTTCCTCCAGTACTTCTCCTGAGTTCACAGGAGCCGAAGGAGCAGCATTCAGGCCATTCTGGAATTTGCAGGATTCTGGTGTGTCTTCCATTAGAATGGGTCCAGACAGAAGCAGTCGCTTGTCTTAATGTGATAAATGCTTGGACAAAAATGCAATGGGATAACGATGGCAATACTCAACTGGATCCAAGCCAGCAACTGCTTGCCAGAGCCACAAGAGAGCTGTTCTGCTATGCGTCTGTCTTGCTGTGCTTGCGTTTCCATTTGTTTGAGTAATTTAAATAGGAAAGAAACGAACTGTTCTTAACACCATACGCTCGGTGAACCACGTTTGCTGAGGCATTACATGACCTCAACTGTATTTCACGTTTCCCACCGTGCAGTCTGCTTTGCGCCTTTGAAAGTATCTTCGAGGGGCTCTGTAAGCCTGCGGTGCCTGACAGGCGGCGAGAGGGGCGGCGCCCTGCCCTGCCCGTTGCTCCGCGCTCAGCCCTTCCATGGAAGCGAGCCGCAGACGGGGTTTTCTGATAAAAAGGCCGTCTTAAAGCAACGGAAATACACGGGGCTTGTTCTTGGAAGTATTTCGCACAAAAGTAAGCCAAGGCGTTTGCACGCTGCGCCCCGCGCCGTAACGTGGCCTCGCTGAACAGCCGCCCGGCGAGCTGACGTGCGGACGCGGGAAGGGCCGTTACCTGAGGCCGGGCTGGCTCCTCCCGGCGCGGATCCGGCGTACCCGCAGCGGCAGGCCCAGCAGGCAGCTTAGGGCCGTGGACACTCGCAAGATCTGCCCGCCCTGCACGGAGAAACGGCGCTCGTCAGGCGCTACGGCGCTCCCCACCCAGCCGGCCGCGACCGGCCCCGCCCCGCCGGTCCCGGTGGCCGGGGGGGGTAAAGGCGGAGCCCGCCCCGCCGCTGGTGCTCTCCCCCTCCATGATCCCGCCGTCTATCTCCACCCTGTCCCCGTCCATGACTGGCGGGGAGGCGAGCTGTCTCTCCCCGAGGGGCCTGCCGGGCCGCGGGGGACCCCGCG